ACAGTCCCAGTCTGAGTGAGTGTGGGTATGTGTTTGAGTGTGGCCTGAGACAGAATGTCATCTTGTCCAGCAATAGTTCCCACCATGCATCCTGAGCTGCTGGGATAAACTCCTACCACCTGTGACCCTAACCTGGAATACTTGAGTAAATAATTATCCTGCTTGCTTTTTATTAATCTTTCTTAAATGTATGTATAGGTCACATTTATTTCAATGTTCAATATTAGTATGTTGGGGTCTTTATTTAGAAGTTTGGTGATATTTTTTGTTTGTTTGTTCGTTTTTGCTATGGAGTCTCACTCTCTCTCCCAGGCTGGAGCGCAGTGGTGCGATCTTGGCTCACTGCAACCTCCGCCTCCTGAGTTCAAGTAATTCTCCTGCCTCAGCCTCCCAAAGAACTGGGATTACAGGCATGCGCCACCAGGCCCATCTAATTTTTTTGTATTTTTAGTAGTGACGGGGTTTCACCATATTAGCCAGGCTGGTCTCAAACTCCTGACCTTGTGATCCACCTGCCTTGGCCTCCCAAAGTGCTGAGATTACAGGTGTGAGCCACTGTGCCTGGCCTTTTTTTTTTTTTTTTTTTTTTTTTTTTTTGAGATGGAGTCTTGTGATGATGTTTTGTAACCAGGAATATGCCATAGGAACTTAATTCTTGTTCATTTCAATTAGCCTATGGTCAAACCGATTTCATTCTATGTCATTTTGCTTAAAGTTGCTGTGTCCAAGAACTTATTGATAATGTTAAGTGAAAATTTATTGTATTTTCACAAAACATTTGTTGACTTCAACTATCCATCCTGGGGCATCACTGATCACACAAAAGCCTGAACAAACAAATGGTCTGAAGAACTATTCTACATATTCAAATACTGAAATGGTAGCTATCTTAGGAAGGATACAAGAATTCACAAAGGGGAGTTTACACGGCACTCACGAAGCAAGACTTTGCACGACGATCAAATGACCACTGCAGATTAGTTCCACTCCTTTTGCCCTGGCTGGAGTGCAGTGGCACTATCATGGCTCACTGCAGCCTCAACCTCCCCAACCTTCTTGAGCTCAGGTGATCCTCCCATCTCAGCCTCCCTTGTAGTTGGGACTACAGGCATGTGCCACCATACCCGACTAATTAGAGATAGGGTCTCACTGTGTTGTCCAGGCTGGTCTCAAAATCCTGGTCTCAAGTGATCAGCCCACTTTAGCCTCCCAAAACGCTTAGATTACAGGCGTGAGCCACCATGCCTGGCTTTTACTCATTTTTAAATTTCAAATGTTCTTGTGCAAACACAAAAAGGGAAGTGATAGCTGTCAGTGAGATAGATTCATTAGCGGAACAGAAACTTTGCAAACAGTTAAATGATGTTTGTTTTATAGCAATGTCATCAATATCTCAAATAGAGAATGATTTTATTAATGGCTAAATTTTATCTCTAATCCACAGAATCAAAGTAAAGCTTTTAAAATTCATTCTATCAAAAGGAAATGATATGATATGATGATTAATGCTACTATAAATTCCTTTAAAACATTCAGCATCAAGATAATATTTTCATAGTGGTAACAGATATGAATTTTGATGGGGCATTACATTGCGGGGAAAACAATATTCTTATTAAGAAACCTACAAGGTAAAAAGGTAGCTGGAATTTTTCGTAGTGCACACATGATTTGATAATGTGTCAAAAATGTACTATTCTATTGTGCATAAAAGGAAACTACTGAGAGAGTGAAAAGACAACCAACAGAATGGGAGAAAATATTCAATTCAGCATATTTTTGAATTGGGTTATTTTGTTGTTGTTGTTCTTGAGTTGTAGGAGTTACTGGACTTGGACAGGCATTTCCTCAAAGAAGACATCCGCATGACCATTAAGCACATGAAACATCAGTTGTTATCAGGGAAATGTAAGTAACAGTCACAACGAGGTGCCATTTACCACTCATTAGTATGGCTATTATTTTTTAAATGGAAAAGAGTAAGTGTTGGCAAGGATGTGGAGAGATTGAAATTCTCATATACTGCTAGTGGGACGGTAAAATGGTGCAGCCACTGTGAAAACCAGCATGTGGGTTTGTAAAAAGTTAAACAAATAATTACCCTATGATCCAGCCATTCTACTTCTAGGTATATACACCCAAAAATTGAAAGCAGGAACTTAAAACAAATACTTCTATACAGATGTACATAGTTGCATATTTACAGATGCCAAAACATGGAAACCATACAATGTCCATCGACAGATGAACTGATAAACACAATGTGGTCTTTCCATATGATGGAATATTATTGTCTTCAAAAGGAATGAAACTCAGATAAATACTACAACATGGATGAATCTTGAAAACATTATGTTAAGTGAAAAAGCTAGATATAAAAAAACCCAAATCTTCTATGACCATGCCATCTACAACAGGCAAATTTATCACAAATAGAATAGAGGTTACCAGGCACTGGTTAGAAGGGGAAATAGAGAGTTAGTGTTTAATGGGTACAGAATTTCTGTTAGGGAGGGTGACAAGTTCTGGAAGTAGATAGTGGTGATGGTGAACACCACCATGAATGTACTTAACCCTACTGAATTGGTATGGTTAAAATGGTAAATTTTTGGCATGTATATTTTACAACAATAAAGAAGTGCTTTTCTACCAATCTATATGGAAGATAAACGTCAAAATTTTATAGACATACACATGATCTTTCTCTATTTGCTGTCAATTATGTTCAAGTTTTAGAAATGTTTGTGCATTTGAATAATTACATCGTTGATAAACCTAACTGTCCTGCAATACTATTAGACATTTTGGAAGAGAATCTCTGAATTTTTTTGACTTCTGTTCAGAAGCTGTTGGAAATCTTAATAGAAAGATTCAAAAATTGATCACCAAAACCTTTTAAAAGCATAGCAAATTGTGATTATTGAAAATCAGGCTCATTGCTCATCCCTGTAGCCCCAGCTACTTGGAAGGCTGAGGTGGGATGATGGCTTAAGACCAGGAGTTTGAGTCCAGCCTGGGCAACATAGAGAACCTGCTATTACAAAACGAAAAAAAAATCAAGCTTATACCTGGAAAGGCACTGAAATTCATTCCCGTAAAAGCAGTGGGAGGGAGGAGAATTGAACAAATTCAACGATGAGAATGCAAATGTTGAATAGGATTTAATTTTGAAATTCTAAAATATTATTTTGGACATAATGACATGTTTGATGAAATTTTTAATTTTAATTGGATATGTTTATATTCTATATCAGAAGTAAATGGAATTGGCCAGGCATGGTGGCTTATGCCCGTAATCCCAGCACTGTGGGAGGCCAAGGTGGGTGGATCGCTTGAGTCAGGGAGTTTGAGATCTGCCTGAGCAATGTGGTGAAATCCCATCTCTGCTAAATATACAAAAATTAGTCAGGCATGGTGGCACATGCCTGTGGTTCCAACTACTCAGGAGGCTGACTGAGGGGGGAAGAGCCTTGAGCCCGGGAGGTAGGGGGTGCAGTAAGCTGAGATCATGACTGCAAACTCCAGCCTGGGTGACAGAGTAAGACACTGTCAAAAAAAAAAAAAAAAAAAAAAAAAAAAAAAAAAAAGGAGAGAGAGAAAGAAAGAAATGAAATTGAGAGAAGGCCTATAATTTTGCTGCAAATATATATGGCAAAATAATCAAAAGAATTACAAATAGAGACAACTTATTTTCTAAATTTTGCTTATAAAAGTATTTATTGAGGAAAAGTATTCTGATAGAGACAGAAGACAGAATCTGTGGGAAATACTGGGCATAAATATTTGTACATTTCAATATGACAAAGACTAAAATTGAGATTGTCCATCATTTCATAGACTTTGTTCCGAGTTTACAAGGTACTGAAGCACCCACAGAGAGAGCATTTTCTGAATTAGAAATACAGTCCCAAAACCTAAAATGCAATAAAATAAATAAATGGAAAAAAAAATACATTCTATGGAAAAGAGTCAATTGAAGGTGTCAACAACCAAATTAGTAAGCATAAGATGCAACTCTGATAAAATTTTGCTAGCAATTTTACAAAAAATATTAATAAGACCATATTAAAATATATATATTCTTCAGAAAAAAATACTAGATTTGGCTAAAACTAATTTATGTATGTGAATGTGTATTACGAAGAGTCGCAGAGGTTGCAGGTGAGCTGAGATCAGGCCACTGCACTCCAGCCCAGGCAGCAGAGAGAGACTCCGTCTCAAAACAAACAAAACAACAACAACAACAACAAAACCCTGGGCACTGTGGCTCATGCCTATAATCCCAGCACGTTGGGAGGCTGAGGCAGGCAGATGACGAGGTCAGGAGTTTGAGACCAGCCTGATCCACATGGAGAAACCCCGTCTCTACCAAAAATACAGAATTAGCCAGCCGTGGTGGCGCGTGCCCGTAATCCCAGCTACTTGGGGTCGGGGTGGGGGGGGGGGGGGGTGGGGGGGGGGGGGGCGGGGCGGCAGATGTTGCAAATAGCCGAAATTGCGCCATTGCACTCCAGTCTGGCAACAGAGTGAGAAAAAGTCATTCGGGTTTTTTTTCAAAAAAAATCAGATTTTCAATATAAATAGTTTTTTAAATTTTGTTTAATCTACACGTATTTAGGCTCTTTCAGTACTCTAAAAGGAATTTTAATTTTGAAAACCAATTTTGAATCAACATCTTTATATAGGTCTACCAGTGTATTAAATCAATATGATGGTCAAAAAATAAGTATTAATTACTTTATAAATCACCCTTTACTTTCAAGAGTGTCTCATTTTGGCTGACTTAAATATATACTCACTTTATCCATGACCCAGCAATTCTATTTCCATGACCCAGCAATTCCATTTTAGCTGGGTATAGGCCCAGATAAAATGACCATAAGCAAGCAACAGAAGGCGTGCCTAAGGATGTTTATAGCAGGTTACTTCTAATAACTCTAAACTGGAAACAAGCAAATAATCATCAAAAGACACAATGGGTGAGGAGATTATGGTCTCACCTGTGGCTGCACATCAGAATCAGCTGGCAGGCTTTCAGACCGCATTTCCAAGGCTTCGTGCCTCAGCTTTGGAGACACACTGCTAACTCTCTCCTTCGGAAGTTACCAGAACCCTGGAGCCCGCGCCTCCGCCTCGTCAGTATCCTCTTCATCAAGACCGCGCGGAGTGGAGCCGCACACAGACTTGCCCTGTAAAGCCGAGCGATCACACCGTTTCTGCGGTGTCTCTTCTCTTCGCTGGTCCTTTTCGGATCCTGCTACTAGCGGTGCAGTTTTGCGATGAGACACACCGGCCAGGCCAGAGTCCACCTCAGCTCCTTGACGGGGGCACTAAGCTTGTATTATTCTGAAGTCCTTATTCATTAGGAAGGATTAGGGCAGACTTGCAAGGAAGAACTTAAATTTTCCTCAAATGTGTGCAATCAATTCTCTTCACAACTTTGAATCCGGCTGGCTCCTTCCCTTCCGGATATTACTACCAACATCAGCAGCACCGCGTCCTTTAGCACCCTCCCGGAACAGAGAGGGAGGGTATTTTCCTTCCTGTTTAGGCCCAGCAAGGGAGGGGCTGCTGGGAGTTTTTGTTTGTTTAAACAAACTACTAAACTTCTGTCGACTGCTACACTACTATAATTTTACTCACAGAAAGATACTTTTAAAATATCCTTGGTCCTTCAACAGAGACCTTAAGAGACCTTGAGAAGGTCTGGTGCTGCTCTCCCAGTCTTCATTTACCAAGGAAAATTTTTGTTTATATAATTCGAATTATGTAATTCGAAAACATCGTAGCGATGATTAGGTTGGTGCAAAAGTAATTGCGGTTTTTGCCATTAAAAGAGTGACAAAACCCACGATGACCTCTGCACCAACCATATGTTTTGGAAAAAATAACGTTTGGAACTGCAAAGTGATTTGCCATTTCAGTACCTACTCCACCGTTAATCTGAGCACTTGCAAAGGTATTCTGGAGCCAATCAGTGCCATGGTCGGTGACGCCATGAGGAAATGGACACCTGTGGGAGTAGTGACGCCATGTTGAAATTGACAACGGTTAGGATATTCACACCACAGAAACAGGCAAATGCTACAAACTCGGTTCCCGCTCCCCGAAAGCGCTTGCTAAGCATCTGCACCATTTTGAAGTAAAAATATTTTGAGAGTGCCTCTGTGAGTATAATAGTGTGGCAGTTTGTAAAAGTTTAGTAGTTTGTTAAAAACCTCTCATGAATTGAAATATGGCTTACACATTATTGCTATGTTACACGTTCCACCTTAATATTTTAATTAGTTTTAAGGAATAAAATAAATAAGTCAATTATAAAAGTTCTTCTGAGGCTTATATTGTACTTACGTTTTATACTTCAGCCTACTTTTCCCAGACTAGGACTTTTCCAAGTTTTTGTGTAGAATTAGTTAAGTTTCAGTAGATGGCGCTGCTACATTGCGTTTTTAGTAATTTCAGACACTGCTTTCTGGGATACTAATAGGAAACTTTTTAACAGATCCAGAACAGGAGTGGGGAGGGAAAGCCAGTCTCTTAACTAGTTCTAGGCTCGTTACAACTAGGACTCTAAGTCTCATTTTTTTCAAACTCTAACATTCTGCACCTGGAGTGTAGAGATATATTGTGAAAGTGTCCGTGGATGGGCATTTACCTTTGATATCTGTCATCTGAGCATCTGAAGGTGCTCTGCCAATATATTCTCTCCAGGTCTTGTAGTTTAGATGAGTAGATGAACCCTCCCACAAATCCTCCACTGCTCTTTTTACACACGAAGTAATAAAGCCCAGAGAGGTCCTGTTTTCTGAAAATTAAATTTTTACACCTGGAAAGCTGCCTTTCGATGAACAACAACAATAATTAATGTTATAAGAAAGATAAACTCTTTTTGATGAGTGAGCATGTGACAAGCTGACTGGCTGCTGTCTCTTTCTTGCTATTCCTTGGTCCATCACCGAAGCTGGCTAGTAGTTGTCATCTTGCTCATTTTTTTCCTCTTATTTTGTTTTGTTATAAAATATTTCAGGAATACAAAATAGGGTAGAAAAAAACATAACAAATATATATGCAGTTACCACAGAAAGAAAAAATGTCACATCTATTGTAACACCCTGTGGATTCATTTCAAGTGCATTTCATGGTCCTTCCTCCCTAGTAGAGTTTACTTTTTTTCCATTTGTATCTTTGTTATCTATCATACTTAATTTGACTTTTCTGCAACTTACTTTTCTTCATTCAACATTATGTTTTGGGAAATTATCCATGTTAATTCTTATTTTATTCATGTTTATATTTGCACAGTATTCCACTGAGTGTTTCATACTTCATTTAAGCCGTTCTTTCATTGACACATTGCATCCAATTTTCCATTATTACATACAACATTGTATATGTAAGATATTCCTGTAAACCTATATATTACATACACTCTTGTTTATGTAAGATATTCCTGTAAACCTATGTTTTATGTACCTTAAATATTTCATAATAACAAAAAAATAATATTTACAATTCTTGCAGACAGTTCATCTTCACTGCCTCATTAAATGTAATTTGTGTTATTTTTGCTGGTGGTGGTGTTTTTTCTTTGTTTTTGAGAGAGGGTCTCCATCTGTCACCCAGGCTAAAGTGTAGTCACGCAATGTCAGCTCACTGCAACCTCTGCCTCCTGGGTTCAAGCGATTCTCCTACCTCAGCCTCCTGAGCAGCTGGGATTACAGGCATATGCCACCACAGCCCACAGTCTGGTGAATTTTTGCATTTTTAGTAGAGACAGGGTTTCACCATATTGGTCAGGCTGGTTTCAAACTTCCTACCTCAGATGATCCACCCACCTTGGCCTCCCAAAGTGCTGGGATTACAGGCGTGAGCCACTGCACCTAGCCTGTAGCTTGTGTTACTTCTTATAGGGGTCAATGATTTCAAAATATTAGAAGGCAATGGGCTGGAAGCTCAAAAAGCCACCTTGAGGGTAATTCAGCATCTTAGAGCTTCAGTCTTTTAAAACCCTAGAAGTAGGGGCCAGGCACAGTGTCTGACACCTGTAATCCCAGCACTTTGGAGGTCCAGGTGGGTAGATCACTGGAGGTCAGGAGTTTGAGGCCAGCCTGGCCAATATGGCAAAACCCCATTCTACTAAAAATATAAAAATTAGCCAGGCATGGTGGTGCACACCTGTAATCCCACATACTCGAGAGGCTGAAGCAGGAGAATTGCTTTAACTCAGGAGGTGGAGGTTGCAATGAGTCAAGATCGCATCACTGCACTCCAGTCTGAGTGACAGAGTGAAACTCTGTCTCAATAAATAAATAATAAACAAATAAACAAATAAATAAGACCTAGAAGTGAAATGGTAGCATTAGGTATTCATATATTTTACTTCAAAATGCCAAATAGCTCTTCAAAGCAGTGGCAACAATCTCTACTCCTACTTGTGTTTGAGAGCTCCAGGTGTTCATCAATCATCCTCCCCAGACCCATGCTTTGAAACTGTTTTGTTTCTGTTTTGTTTGTTTGTTTTTGAGATGGAATCTGGCTCTGTTGCCAGGCTGAAGTGCAGTGGTGCAATCTCAGCTCATTGCAACCTCCACCTCCCGAGTTCAAGTGTTTCTCCTGCCTCAGCCTCCTGAGTAGCTGGGATTACAGGCACATGCCACCTTGCCTGGCTAATTGTTGTATTTTTAGTGGAGGTGGGTTTTTGCCGTGTTGGCCAGGATGGTCTCCATCTCTTGACCTTGTGATTGCCTGGTCAATCAGGCGTGAGCCACCGCACCCATCCCTTAAACTTTTTTATACTGAAAAATTTGAATATATACAAAAAAGGAGAGATTAATGAACTTTTAGGGTCCTGTCATTTGATTTGAACAGTTATTAATTCATAGCCAATCTTGAATCATATACACCCGTCACACTCCTGCAGGTTATTTGAAGCAAATCTCATCATTCCAGGATAATACTCCGAAAGATAAGGACTCTTTATTTATTTATTTATTTATTTTTTGAGACAGGGTCTCACTGCCACCCAGGCTGCCATGCCGTGTGGTGTGATCATGTCTCACTGCAGCCTCAACCTCCCAGGCTCAAGTGATCCTCTCACTTCAGCCTCCTGAGTAGTTGGGGCTATAAGCACATGCCTCCATGCCCCGCTAATTTTTTTACTTTTTGTAAAGATAGGGTCTCACTATGTTGCCCAGGTTGGTCTGAAACTCCTGCACTCAAGTGATCCTCCCTCTTCAGCCTCCCAAAAGTGGTGTGATTACAGTCATGAGCTATTGCGCCACACCAGGACTCTATTTTAAACATAACAAAAACACCCTGATTACACTTAAGAAATAATCATCAATCTTTCTTTGTTGAAATAAAATAACCAGCCATGGTTCAGATTTCACAATTGTCTCATAACATTTTTATGGTTGGCTTGAGTCATATCTAAAATAAGATCCATAAATCGTGATTGTTAATATGTTTCTTCAATATATTTTAAGTGATGGGTTCCCTCCCCATCTCACTTTTTTCCATTGGTATTCATTTATTGAAAAAAGAAAACAGGATTGTTTGTTCTATAGAGCAAGGGTCCCAAACCTCAGGCTACAGACTGGTACTGGTCCAGGGCCTGTTAGGGACTGAGCTGGCATAGCAGGCGGTGAGTGGCGGGCGAGTGAAGCTTCATCTGTATTTATAGCCACTCCCCGTTGCTCACATTACCACCCAAGCTCCGTCTCCTGTCAGATCAGTGTGGTATTAGATTCTCATAGAGTTGGGAACCCTATTGTGAACTGTGCATGTGATAGATCTAGGTTGCCTGTTCCTTATTAAAATCTAATGCCTGATGATCTGCCGGTGTTTCCCACCACCCCAAAATGGGACCATCTAGTTGCAGGAAAACAAGCTCAGGGCTCTCATTGATTCTACATTATGGTGGGTTATATAATTATTTCAGGATCACCTGAGGTCAGGAGTTCAAGACCAGCCTGGCCAACATGGTGAAACGCCGTCTCTACTAAAAATACAAAAAAATTAGCTGTGCGTGGTGGCATGTGCCTGTAATCCCAGCTACTTGGGAGGCTGAGGCAGGAGAATCACTTGAACCCTGGAGGTGGAGGTTGCAGTGAGCTGAGATCACGCCACTGCACTCCAGTCTGGGTGACAGAGCAAGAATCTATCTTAAAACAACAACAAAAATTATTTTATTATACATTGCAGTGTAATAATAATAGAAATAAAGTGCACAATAAATGAAATGCATTTGAATCATCCCAAAACATTCCCCCCAGCCACCACCCACACCACCCACTGGTCTGTGGAAAAATTGTCTTCCATGAAACTGGTCCCTTATGCTAAAAAGGGTGGGGACCGCTGCTGCAGAGTTTCTCACAGCATGGATCTCAGTGAGTACACGGTGTGTAACATGTGCCTCTCTCTCTGTGTGTTCTGAAAACTAGTGTCAGATTTTGATCAGATTTGTGTTCAATGTTATTTTGATCCCATAGTTTGCAAA